ACGTGCAATGTTATGTAATACAAATCTATTTTAATTTATTACCGGATACAGAACGAACAGAGGAGGAGAACGCTATAGGACGGCTGGAAGAAATCGTCTCCCCGAGATCACCGAGTATGACTAAGCATTCCGAAAGCGGTAGCGGCTGAGGCCTTCCACCAGCAGTCGGCGGGATGTAGTACAAGCAGTTGCGCGCATACCTATAGAGTTTGAAGCACATTCTATTTGTATATAATGCACCAATGGTCTGACATAGACAAAAGCAAATACAAGCATTGACAGTGTCACTGAGGGCTGAACATTGGGTTCACAAGCCATGATAAATTCCTCTGAGGGACAATAGTTCACGGGGGGTGTGTACACTGGGGGAGTACCAGTAAGATAGCATTTTATGCCTTTCTATATAGTTTTTACCCCTCCTAGTTTTCAGGTGCTCCTTGCATTGGCCGCCGACTGCTGGTGGAAGGCCTCAGCCGCTACCGCTTTCGGAATGCTTAGTCATACTCGGTGATCTCGGGGAGACGATTTCTTCCAGCCGTCCTATAGCGTTCTCCTCCTCTGTTCGTTCTGTATCCGGTAATAAATTAAAAATAGATTTGTATTACATAACATTGCACGTGCGCCCTAGTAAAGGAGGAGCGAGAACGCTAAGGACGGTGGTTTAGGAGCCTGGACTTATAAGTGATTGGAGGTTAAATCGGACGCGCCTCCGATCCGATGCTACCATATATAGGTCCGTCGCTCGGGCGAGAGTCTTGAATGTCGTATACAGATCCGTAGCGAGCCCGGGTTGCGTTGCTTACTGACATCACACCACAAATTCGATTCGCAGAGGATTTGTTCAGAGAAAGACAAGGGAACAAGCGATGCAGCAGTGATGCACAATGCAGGTCAGAGACAGAGATAGGGATAAAACAATAAGAGCAGCGTAACTCCAAGCAATTATACGGATCAGGTACCGGGAAGAGTGTCCTGCTAGTAGCATTGGATAGGGTAGATGACTAACGCACAAGAATCTTGACTTTAAGAGTAAAAATAACGTGCTTGAGAGATGAGAAAACAGCAATGACGAGAGTCATGAGGACGTTAGGAGATAAGATACTTCCTGAAAACTCTTCATGGAAGTGGTTGAGGGTGCTGAGAGGGAGGACAGTCATGATCCTGTTATGGAATTCGCAGGGAGCACCGGGAGAGAATTGGGTCCGCCGAGTAGAAGGCCCAAGACAGATGTGGTTGGGAGCCGGAGAGTACTGATGCGACTGAGGACCTGGGGGACGTAAGAGTGACCCTGATTGAGGTCGAAGCATCAGCCAGATTGACAGCACCAGCGCGGGCACAGGGGAGTCGGATGACGGGTGTCGTAAGGTCGTTAGCAGAGCGGAGAAACGTCGGATTTCGCCTGGCGCAAGGGTCGTAAGAAAGAGCCAGCCACTTATAGCCGGGTCTTCAGGTAGAATTGTCTTAAAATATATTGTTGGGTTGAGTCGTAGGCAGGTCTTCAAAGCCCAATAGTGGAACACCAAGGAATCGCCCTTAACAGAGACATGATTGATGGCGTGCAGGCAGAGCCAGAGGGTCTTAACGTGGAGGAGGTAGCAGAAGTGGCAAATCGATCGTACAGGTCGTGGAGCGCGGAGTAGCAGAAATAAAAATAATGCTGAATAGCAAAGCAGTATAGCGGTCGTGAGAGGTCGCTCGAAGATTGCGGGGCCGTGTCGCCTAGAAGGCTCGCCAGAACCGGAAGGCTCGACAGATTCTTGTACCGAGGGACCCTCTTTTGTGCGGAAAGTTTGCCTGGTATGCCTGTCGCAATAAAAGGTGACTAACTGCTCCATACAAAGGAGATGATCGTTCACCTTTCGAGTATCCGAGCCGACTCTCTGACCCTTCGCCTTGGGGGCGAGGGCATCGCTATGGAGGTGGTAGACGACTAAAAGGCTGACCTGAGTGGACCGGGGAGCTTCACGATAATAGCCACGGTGGTTATGCGGCATTCACGCAGACGAGTCTGCAAGATGGCTGGTTGACGGGTTGGCCTGGGACAGGCTGTTTAACTACTCATCATCCAGTCTGCATCACAGAGAAGACAGAGCCGTCCGTCGCTCTGTGGGCGTCCTTGAGTGCAAGCATATCCCCTGCAGTATAATGTGTCGCTAGGGAGGAGCGAGCTCTTGACAATGGACGGACGAAAGTGAAGTTCGCCGCCGCCAACTTACATCCTGGGAAACTTGATATACGGACCGTTGTCCGGCCTCGTGGCCAGAAGAGTCAATAGAAGTTGATTGCGAACCTCTTTCTCGACCTCTTCAACGCCCACAGAATGACAAGACAGGGCAGAAACGTGATAGACCGCAAACGCAACAATAGGGCGAAAGGACAGCAAGGTGTGGGAAACCCCCGCTTTCTCCAGGCGCCAACTTGAACATCCCCCATCTTCTGGGAGGTCCCTTTGTGCAATCAGTTACGCTTGTATACTTGGCGACCGATATCGAACATCATGTCGATGGTCCATGTCTTCGACGTCCGAGACTACAAGAATGCCATAGACAATGGAGGCATCCTATACATAGGACGGGACCGGTTCGACACCTCGCGAGCTCTGCAGTTCGCCTTGATGAAGAATGGGCGAAAGATCATGGTACAAGTGCAGTACACGGGCCCGCTAGATACCGAGACTCCAGGCATGACCCCCGGAAGATGGGAGTATCTGACGGAGCTGGAGTTCGAGGTCGTGATGTCCATGTTACCGCAAATCGAGTTCGACCGCGTGTCGGCGAACTGGGTATATGTGGTCCGGGACCGCAACGGGTACTACCTAGTGTACCGAGACAGGAAACGGGCAGAGATTGTTACAGATCACTGGGCGCAATTAGTTGACGAGAAGGAGATCGAAGTCCACCGCTACTTCAGCTACGACGAGGGCGAAGGCGTGTGGCGCGGGCAGAACGTGCGCTTCCGCTACGCGTGGTGCAACCACCACAGTGGGGTCCAGGACCTGCTCTCGGAATACGCCGCGTACTTCATGCTGCGCAACCTGGATCTCACGTTCAAAGTTCTCGCCTTGGTCACCATCGAGGGCAGGGTGACTGGCTGGATGTGGGAGCGCCCGCATGGGCGAACTGTGCAGTACCGCGACCGCTCGCTGGTGTACGATGCCGTTGCAAAAATCCAGCGCAATGGCCTTCTCTACTATAGCATGCGCGCGCACAACATTATTATTACCGACGACGGAAAAGTGCGCTTCATCTATCTGGACTATAGCATAGCCTACTTTGAGCCTCACGAGCTTGAAGAGCTGGAACGCAGAGCGGAGGAGTACCACTGGAAGGCACTCCAGGATATCTTCGACCAGCTGAAGGACGTCCCGGAGCACATGGAACATCACCTCCAGTCCATATCCGATACTCACCTCATCTTCCCTAATGCCCGCTGTAGACCTTCCCTGACGTCATACTATGAGAAAGAACTGCTACCGTGGTTAAATTATGTGCAAATACTGCACAGGGCGATGCGGAAGTATGCTGCAGAGCTCACTATCAAGTCTCAAGCAAAGAAGGTTGCCAAGCACAAGCAGCGACTCCTCCTCGCAAATACCGAAGGAGATCTAGACGCGTCGGAGGACAGACCACTCATCGTCTCCCGACGCAAGCCGGGGATGCTCTCTGTCGGGATACCTGACCGACAGACCATACTGAAGAGCAAGCCGGTCGCCCTCAAGCCCAAGGCGAAGAAGAAGTTGCTGGCTCCCACTCTGGAGGATCTGTGAGCTATCGTTGCTCACTTTTCTTGCAGGCGTCTAACTTATTTTGCTTAACAGCGTCAAGTACGCGAAGCGCATGCGAGATACGGCCGGGCTACATGACACTGAACCTGGCCGCCTCGAGGAGATCCTGGATTAGAAAGTGTAGGATCGACAGATTAATGTTGGATCTATTAAGCTATGCCGTCATTCATCTTTGATTCGTTCATATAAGTATTGTTTCCAAGTTGATTCCCGATGTTGTGGTCGGGTATGTCTACATTTAGGTACTCGAGTCAAAGTTTTCTGCTTTCGTTGTAAGGGTTGTTCCGCTTGCTATCATCTTGTTTTCTTGCTATCTCTGTCGTCCTCATGACCTAGTTTTGTATCAACTGCGTTCCTTGGTGTATCCTCTGCTCCCTGATATGTAGTTGTTTGGACTTTGTGGCTTGCGGCTATGATCAATCGGTCGATCGGGAGAAGCTCGGGTCTACACGTGCATAGCACAGCCACAAAATACAAGGTCTCGCCACATGTTGGATCCATATGGACCTATAATCCACCCTCAAAATCTTGTGGGGGCCCAGGATTCTCGAAGGTTGAAGGGAAATGGTCAGAAAATTTGATATAGACTAAGTGGCATGTTAGGGAAACTCTCGTCAACGATCCACGCTAACGGGGAACTTCGTTGTAAACGATGGATGAAGGAGGAGCTGAAGAAGTATACTAGTAAAATGTTACACTCATATATGAGAGAAATAGAGCCTTTGGGGCATTGCGGCATTGACTTTTGTGGTTTATTAAGCATAGAGCGGGTACTTGGTTTTCTGCCCGCGCTGCCCGAGGCAGTCACGGCACGGCGAAAATCTGGCGGTGGAGCGGAGCCTCTCGCTCAAGAGTGGTGTGTGGTTGAGTTTCTGGCGCGCACAGAGTGGCGATCATGTTATAGCTTAAGCACAACTGCCTTCGCGACTGTTACCGGGTAGAGCCAGGATCCATTGGATTTTCCTGCGCTGCCTGTAACTTCATAGGGAAGAAAGAAGCAGGAGACATGGGAGATTTGGGCCTAGTTGCCATTTAATCAAGTGAGAGATTACTGCGCTACACCTGTAATTGTAGACTACGTAACATCACTACAGTACATTGTCCAGTGAAGTTTGCGAGGATGTCGATAAATATCTAGTGCGATCAGAAAGGTCCGTTCCGGACGGGATGCGATGTGCTGCCATTAGCTTGCTTCGTACTATGATATGTAATGTTGTATTTTGGCGTGAGGGTGCGCCCACAATATACTTGATGTGCTGTAGAGAGGGGAGGAGTGGCGGATATTATAGTTCTCGGGGTAGCGTATGATTGATCGAGTGCGGGGGCGTGTGGCGAGTGGTGGCTGTTGATCCACCAGCCCGAGATTAAGCTGCCTTGAGCCGACTGTGATTAGAGTGATTATTAGCTATTGCGGGACGGGGGAGATGTCGGGGCGGCGATAGAAAGAGTGCGGCGGCGTAGGCATTGCGTAATGTTCCTTTGGGGCCTGACGATGGAGAGTATGCCCCGTAGAGCCCGAGCAACACCTACCACGCCATGGGCGTCGATCGCATTTTAAATTGGGACAAGAGGGCGGAATTTCCTCTCCACGAACGATCGTGAATGTCCGAGGTCGCTTCCGTCCTCGCGGTGTTCGTTACGCGAGGCTTCCGGGAACGACTCATCCACAAACAGCACATCATTTACCGAGAGTAGCTGCCATCTGGCATGCCTTAAAGTTTCTGGACATGGGGTGAGGCAACCTCGGGGTATCGTTGCCGGAGACCTTGCATAAAATAGGGATTCAAGGCCAAACCATCGGGAGTAAAAATATATTGAACGTACCAAGGATCAAGTTCCAGCACCATGACTCTTTGGCGGCAGCCCTGACACGGTCCTGGGTCTTCGATAGTGCGGATGCTATCCTGGTGGGTGCACTTCCTGCCCGACAGCGCGATGGGGCACATACGCTCGATGTGCGTTTCTGTACCTTTATGACAGAGAAAGACGATCCTAAGATAATGACACATGTCCGGCACAATCTCAACATTCTTTCACGGTAAAGACTCACCATTTAAAGACCAATCAGGCGTCAAATCTTCAGGGCAAATGTATCCCTGCTTGTTACCGGCTGAGGTAACAGATGTGACTTACGCACACATACATCAAGATAGAGTTGTGGCGTAGGGGACCCATATTGCGTTGGTTCACCTTCGCGCTGTTCATACGTTGAGGATCCCGTACATAAGAGTTGCCTGTGTGCTTGGTAGCAGGCTGTGAGGAAATCCGCCTCCAGCGAGCATTGAGAGGCGTCGCCACCTGTCATCATAACATCTTGGGCAGCTGTGGTATACATCTGAGCACCAAGTTGAGTGAAGTAAACAGACTTGTTTGGACTGCATGACATACTATTCGCGCATGTTTGCTTCGTTTGGGGAGCAGGAGAGACGTTTCTTCCAGGACCCGGGTCAAAATCGAGTTCACGATTTCACCGCATTTTGGGATATCGATAGAGCTAGAATCCCCGACCTCTCCTCCATCGCCGTTACGCCGCTGAAAGCATGCGAAGGGGGATCCACGGACCACTACGTACTCCTCCGCGGCGAAGTTCCTCTACGTGCCGGTCACGTGCCGTCTGCCTCTGCCAGATGCGTCCTGCCTTTCTGAGCGAATCGATGGGCGCTGGAATGAGCGCCCGTGGTGGAGGCCAGCTTGCACTGCTCTACACGTGTATCTGATGTCCGGCTGAGCTCTGCAGTCTACCAGTATCCAGATGGACGCGCCCACAAAGCCATCGCCCCCGGACGTCGTTTATTTCGGGGTCTTCAACGACCGGGACGGGCCTATTCATGTGTTCCGGTGCGAGAGCTACACCCTAACCATCCAAACGAGATCTTTCCTGGGTCAGTTGGGTCAAAATAGCGAGCGGCGCCAGGAGTACAGGGATAACACCGCTTTCGATGTCGAGATCATCCAGACGATGCTTGGGAGCATCGAGTGGGGGCGGACGAATTACGCGTACCTGGTGCGCGAGAGCAGCGGCAGCTACCGGCTTATGTACAGGAACAAGGTCCCCAGACCGCTCACTTGCCATCTCTGGGCACCGACGGTGGACATTAAAGAGATTGATGTCACCCGCTGGCTCGATCAGCGAATATATCGGGAAGGAATATGGCGCGGGCGGGAAGTTAACCTCAAGATCATGGACTCACCTGAGTCATGGGTGGCCGACATGGTCTCCAGCGAAATCGACGGCGCACGAACACTTACGGCCCTGGGGTACTCATTCGAAGTCCTTGGCATTGTTACAAGCAACGGTGGGGTCGTTGGCATCATGTACGAGATCCCAGTGGGACGCGTGGTGCAGTACCACGACCGCGCAGCCCTCTACGATGCCTTCGCCGACTTGCAGAAGCATCGTGTCGTCTACCGAGGTATTACTACCACGAACGTTATCATCACGGATAAAGGTGTTCGTTTACTGGACGCCTCAACCGTTCTAGTATTCGGAGAAGACGAAGACGAAGATTTGGAAAGGTATGGGGAGACATGGCATTGGGAGAGATTGGCGAAGCTCTTCGAAGAGTACAAGCAGCGCCCTAACGTCATGCCCCTCGCTCGCGAAGTCAACGCGTACAAGATGGTTATCCCTCGACTACCGTCTTTATACCGCGAGCTCATTCTCGACCCGGAGATCATCGTCGTCGCGATGCTGGAATATCGCTTCAAGAAGCAACTCGATCCTGCGAGGTATTCGCAGCGGCAGTGGCAGGTTGCTCTTCGAATGGCGATGAAGAAGGTCGACGGTCGGTTGGCCTCTTCGTCCTGGGACATCCAGCCCAGCTTCGTCGGCTCGGAATCTTCCCGCACGTTGTCCGATACGTCGGGTGATGTCTATTCTGCTCTTGACAAGCCGCGAACTGTCAATCGTTCTATTCCTCGACTCCGTGTTACCGCTGAGGTCGCCTTCCATCCATACAGCCGATCAAAGGCGCGCCCAATTAGGCGCATCCTTGCCCCCGACCTGTCCTAGAATTGCGATGAGGTGAGTGTGTTTGTGTCGTCCGTATTCACAATAGCTTGACGTGGGGCTTCAAGGTAGCTTCAGGGACTTTCGTCAATAACGTCCAGTGGTACCGGCTCTCAGCTAGACTAGAGCCCTCGCAATGCCTGTCGCAGGACTCTGCATATCTGATATCGCGGCCAGCCCTGCAAGAGGTCCTGCTTGCTCTTGCACCGATCACTTTTATTACAACATACCCCTGATGGGCCATGTTCTCGCGTTGCTGTATTCTGATCGCTCTGTGTCGTTGTTGCTCTGCGCTTGCTTTCGTTCCATCATGTTTTGTATTATTAATGGATGTATTTGATGTGGGGTAAGGATGTACCTCCCTCCATGTCCAACCCAGTCGTCTCTATTCCTTAGATGATAAAGATTTGGGGGTAGGTAGTCGCCATCAATCCAGTATGTTCCTGCGCACTCTTCCGAGCTCCCCATCTGCTGACGTCCTGCTAGGTTTCCCCGATGTTCGACGTTGAGTAGTCTCTAGTTGAGAGCATTGAAATGTCGAGCAGTGTTTCCGTAGCTGTCGCTGGGCTGGGCGTTGGCAGGGTGAATTCCTGAGATATGACATTCTGCGCCCGCTGTCTGGGGGCTGCAAGGTTCAGATCTGCTCTGGTTGCGATGTCCAAAGCCTCCTATTGATCCGGTCTTGGTGGATGTTTGTTGCGTTCCAAAAGCATCCAGGTGCTCCGAGGCTGAAGCCGGAGATATGACCTCCGCTTCCTCAATTTGTCTCTGTGGGTCCTCCGCCCCCCGGTCAGCGTTTTCATGACGAGTACTCTACTATGGCGAGATATTGTGGGCCGCCTGCCCTAACGCATCTCAGTCGAAATAGGTGATTGTCGGTATGTCGTCTCTGTGCAGTGGAAGTCATCCCAAAGTGCGTGTCTTATCGTTCAGACCCAGCTTTCCAACATCTCCGCTGAGCGCTGATGTGGCACTCTCATGTGTGGTGCCATGGACCGCCGTTCACTGACAAGTGAAGTCATTGCCCAGCATGTATCTGGTGCGAGTTCCGCGGCTCGCTCGTCGTCTCCGTGTATGTCTACCACGACGGCGACCAAGGTGACTTTCCTAAAGCAGCGCGACGGTCGGCAGCGCCATCGTTTCGCATTTGCTGTGAATTGGAGCCGATATGACCACCAGCACCCACGGCGCTGCAGTGAAGGTAGGTATGCCTATCAGTTTATCCATCACTATCCCGACCGCCCCGTCGCTTCGGATCTTGGGCCAACATGAGTATCCAGGCGGCGCTACGATGGTGGCTTGCGTACTTGGTTTATTTCTGTGAGCTGCCATACATACTTCACGTTTGGCGGCTGAAACTTCGACTCCACCCCCTACGATTGTTCAGTGCGCACTGGATCGCCGCTCGGCGTTCAGGGCTGCAGATGGGTAAAGTGATGTTTCTCATCGCTATGCTATGCGACAGCACTCAATATGGATCGGGATAAATAGTGAGTCAAACCGTCGCATTGCGGTCTCTGAACTGCGGTAAGCAGTGCGTGAGGTTTTATGTTGTTATTGACGACGAGATGGCGTGTGCTTGAAACTTAAGTCTGCCATAGGTCGTTTCAGCCGCCCATCACCTGCCCTAGTGAAGCTATACAGCATATTAGGTTTCTGACCTGCAGTACGCTTGCGATGTCGGAGTCCTCGGTGATCCATGAGGCGAGATGTCGTAGCTCCGCTGACGCTGCAGCGAAAGGTGTCCTTGGTTCACTCAGCGGCGTAAGTGAAACGTGGAGAAGGTTAATAGGACTTGCCACTCATAGGGAAGTGTATTTTTTTCTCTTTCTTTTTGCTTGTGTTGAGGAACGATGCGGCGTCCGGGCAATCATAGACTGCCTTGCCGCCAGATATCCGATGGAGGGCATGGCAATCGTGAGGACAATGTGGAGATTTATCCTTTGGGAGAAATAACCCACAGGGGAATATATTCGTCCCATGACGACTCCTCAGAACATGTAAATATACCCTCGTGCGCTTAATATAGTCGAGGATCCGCGCACGATCAGTGACGCGGGTACGGCGGTCTTGGGGCCTTGTGCGCAGCGACGAGCGTAAAAGGGCGGGTCTTATACTCTTGGAATTTGCCCCTGGTTGTATCTTGCCATCCTTACTGTTACGCTCGAGTCCTCGACGCCCAAGCACTATGAATGGTGTATCAGGACTCAGCGGCCGTCTGCGCGAAGAGCCTCACCTACGAATCATGACTGTATCAATTGTCCAAGATCCTGTGAAGTCTGAGTGACTCCAAAGTGACTCAATCAAGTCTATTGTGAGTTTCCAGAGCCAAACTCACTGGCAGGCTGTCTGCAGGTTGAAGTATGGGTGCCTTAATATTTACCACCACATTTTCCTTAGACAATACTTGGCTATGAAAGGTCCAGTGTGCTTCGTCTCTCATCCCTCTTGTATGGCTGCTCTGTTCCACGAGGTGAATTCTAAAGTGGGTGTTTTGGATCTCGAAACGAGTTCGAAGCTGGAGTAGTGTACGGGGTAATAGGCGGCGGTAATTAACCGAGTTAATTAACAGGCTGTAATTCACCGTAAATTAACCAGAGGTTGTGGCGAACCTGAGATTCACCCGGTGAATCAGGGTGAAATAGGGTAAACCTCGGAGAAGAGGTCCCCTTGTCCTGTCTGTATCCCTAGCGCCTCCCTGTGCCTACTGCAGTTATGTCTGTACGCTCTTACATTAGACTACCCATACGCTATATGTACTTCATTGAGAAATGTGTCGGTATAGCTATAGCAGGCCTGTGGCTGCCCGACCGGTAACTAAAAGCTTCGGCCAATTTCTAGTGGCCTTTTTTTTGTCGCGCCTGCACGATGTCCTCTCTGACACTCCACAGGGCCCCTCCATAGAGACCGTGGACAGCGATAGAGATGTGTCGGATGATGCGGTTATGGATGACACGCCGCTGGAATGGGATAAGTGGTAGCATACCGAAATGATCTATTTGACGGTTGATTTCCCGGTAAAATATACCTAATTCATGCGTTAATTGACGCCAAATAGCTCTTTA